TATATATATATATATATATATATATATATATGAACAAGAAGAATAAGTCTCTTTCAAAAAATTTGAAAACTTGATTTCCAAAACTGTATAGAACCAATGCATACCTGTTCCTATGGTTTCATGGAGTGTGTACTGCCCTTCAAGAACAGCATATGAGCTGGATTTAGATGGCATATTTGTTTCTTAAAAAATGAAATAAAGTCTTCTAAATGTAAGAAATAATATAAAAAACTACTTTCATACTAAAGTTTATTCTAAGGTTTGCTAGCAGTTTCTTTAAGCAATATCAAAATGATCACATCAAACATTTCCAATGGCCAAAAAATAAAAAATTTGCAAACCACAATCTCATTTTATATGCAATAATTTAAGAATGTTGTGCTAATAATTTAAAATAAAACATGTTATAACACTTTGAGTAGGCCAAAAAGTTTGAAAGTCAGGATTCCTTTTAATCTTCTTTTAGAAACTGTGGAAACAAAACAGCATATACACATAAAATCAGAAACTTAGTCTAAATATATTAAGAGTTTAATATAGTTTATATAAATAAAATGCTATCAGTAAGCCAAAGTCAAAATGTCCCTCTGAGCAGTTTGATTCTCAACAGAAACAAGAACCATAACCTAAGGTTTCAAATTACACAAGTAGATCTGTAGTTTAAATTTCCCAAACAGCAAAATAATTTTTTGTTGTGCCAGTGAGACTGGCAAACACAGCAAAAAGTGTTCTTCTCTATACTTACCCTAATGAGAAAAAGTCTAGCATTCAATACATGGTGAAGCCAGTTATTTTAGAATTAAATATTATGTTTTGCCATATTTATATGTATATCAACTAAAGACATTCTCAATAGGACTGCCATATTTCTGATCTTTTAGAGCTATACCAAAATGCCCAAGTGGCCTGCTTCTGGGTCACATACATTAAAGACCCTATGATCTCAGATCAGTCAAAGTGCACATATCATGACCTTCTAAGTTACATTCAAAACTTAACTAAACTTTATTATCAATGCATGTTAATAAACTAGGCATTACAGCATAGTTTATAATTCAAAGTTTTATATTATCTGAATAATTTCAAAAGGAAATATTCAAATAAGTTCTTAATATTCACTTCTCTGTGTCACATGATGCATCTCTCATTCAATTTTCCTTTTTAGCTTTTCTTTATTCCCTTTTATGGGTTTCAGTGTCCAACCAATCAGTTGTTTGTTTGTTATGGATTTCGTGCAAAGCTACATGAGGGCTATCTGCGCTAGCCGTCCCTAATTTTGCAGTGTAAGACTAGAGGGAAGGCAGCTAGTCATCACCACCGACCGCCAACTCTTGGGCTACTCTTTTACCAACGAATAGTGGGATTGACTGTCACATTATAACGCCCCTACGGCTGAAAGGGCGAGCATGTTTGGTGTGACGGGGATTCGAACCCGCGACCCACAGATTGCGAGTCGAGCGCCCTAACCACCTGGCCATGCCGGGCCTATGCCCAACCAATCAGAAACACAAACTGCATACAGGTATTGACTGATCAACATACAAAATTAGAACCTCCCACCTCATTTTTCTTAAATATACTTAAATTATCACACCCAGCATAGAGGCTCCTCCCATTTCTTTATGCTTTTGAAGCCACTTGTTTACTCACTCCTAGTTGCCATGTGAAACAATGCAACTCACTGGTAAGTGGTGAATCACGTGATAGATTGAGCTTCATATTTATTTTTAGTATCTTATAACTTTAATTAGCTTAATTTTATAGATCAACTGAGATGTTTGGGATTTTTTATGGTTGAAGTATTTAAAGAAGTAAGGAAATTCAATCTCTTATTAAAAATATTTATACTACTGCTTCTGAATGTGAATATGAACAGATATAAATATGTTAATCAAATATGAGTATACGTGTAGAGGGCTAATTGGAAGCTTCATTGTTTTTTACGGTCTTTTGAATTTACTTCTGCCCGAAAAACATGTTAGTACTCTAAATAATGGGGGGGGAGGGAATCTATCCTGAAGTTAAACTACACCACAGGTCAGACGGAGCATGAAAACCCGCAGATAAGAAATCATCCTTGAACTCATTAGAGCAGGAAATGAGAAGCAGAGAAACACGAAGCAACAGATACATAAGCACAAAGAATTGAATGTATATGTCGTCTAAAAAGTTATGATTATCAAGTAATCTAAAAACATTATAAACAGAACAAGTACAGTAATGAAGTTCAAAATTTTAAAAATTGAATAACAAAGTATTAATGCTATCTTTGGTACATTGTAAAATTTATTATAAATACTAATATGCAATCATTACAATGAATCATTAAATTCTTACTACAAATTAATAATGGGCTTTGAGTGATTTAACTGGTCAGTTGCTTCTGAACTTGAGCTATACAGACCTATAGATGAGAGATTAGTAATATTTGCTAATTAATTTTGACAGCTACATTGATCTATTATATTTTATTAATTAATAAGTACAGTGTTCTTCAAACCATGGTATGTACAGTTGCCTTCCCTCTAGTCAGCAGTTAAAAATTAATGACAATGACAATGGCAGATAGCCTTAGTATCTTTGCCATAACAAAGGCACTGAGAGCAAGTTTGGTGGCAATGTAACTCGAGCCCAGACCCTTGAACCACCATGACCCCCCTCCCCCCACCTAAATTTGAAGTTAAAAAAAAAGCTAAAGCTGAGATTATGCAGAGCACAGATAGACAATTATGCAGCTTTGTGCTTAACAGCAAACATAAGAGCAACATTTTGATTACTTGGATTATTGGAATAATCAAAAACAGGGAAAGTTGTAATATTTTTTTTTCAAATAGTTTGACAATTGATTTAATCATGATTTTGATTAATTGATTAGATTACATAAAACTAATCAATGTAAACACTGCTCATAGGTAATCAATTAAATCATCCAGCTCTAAACAGTCCTGTTAGTTGTTTGGCATACATGTAATACTGCAGTACATGCTACAGTGATGCGATGAGTGACACTTTCAAGTCATTGGCAAGTACACCACAAAGTTAAATTATTTATAGGCACTGGAAGACTATATTTAATAAACAAATCATATTAAATGGCTATCATAAACTGAGACACAAATAACCTTATTATGCAAATTTTTTTGTGTGTGTTTCTCCATACCCACTGAAAGAGTTTAAGAAAACCTCTTAACTCTTAAACATAAAATTCACCTTCCAGAGATTTTTTGTTTAGTTATACAGCAGAAAGCAAATTATGTATGACATTGTTCTTTTAAAAAATTTCAATAATAAGTTTTTTTATAGCTGAAGTGCTAAACAGATTTTATCTACTAATGTTTTAACAGACAAAAAATTAAAGGATACTTTCTGCGACAGCATTTTAATAACTTGGAAAAGATTTCCCTAATTTCATTACTATTAAATAACAAGCTACTTTCAAAATATTACCAAAATTTTATACAGATTTACAATAGCCTTTTTTTTACTTTTAAAACTTCAGTTTATTTTAACAGACTGACCTCACTTCTTTTCACCCGAACCAAATACACAACTGAAGGTTTCAACGATTTGTAAATAATCACACTTAAATACTCTTTTCTCCACAACATTCCTCTATTTATTTTTTCTAACTTTATGATAAGGAGAGAAATAGTTGTTCACACACGCACACAATGTGTGGAATCCCATTTCCTGATAACCTGCATTACGTGTAACTTTTTTTTCAGCTATGATTCCAATTAAAACTATATAATAAAAAATAAAAAAGATATTTGAAACTCATACACAGCATACAAAAATCAGTACCCATAGAATCCCATTCTGATCAATTTTGGCTTGCAAGTTGATTCCCTCCCAAAATTCTGTTGCCATCTCATGTCTGAAATTAAGGATAAAAAGACAGTCAAATACCATAATGATGGATGTCCTAAGGTGGGATGTTTCAACTCAAGAAACCCATTCTTACATTTTTGAAATCATAAAGAGTGTATTTTAATGAGCTAATTAATTTTCTTTGTAGAAAAATAGCAGATGTCACAAAGTTAGCTATGGCTGTAAGGCAGGCAGGGATCCCACATATTTGAAAAATAAGATTGTGTGTAATTCTATCCCCCCCCCTGTTCATCTCATTATTGAAACACATTTTTCAAATTCATGTCCACTCATTAATTTTCCCAAACATCATGAATTAAAGAAAATTTCTCAAAAGTATCAACCTCAGGCATCATCTTATCATTAGAGTAATCATTCTACTAAATTTGTTTGACTTTTAAAAGAATTGATAAAATTTCTGTATATTATAAAGTTTCATACTAACAGCTTTAGTTAATTATATAATATGAATGTACAACCTGTTTCATCAGTATTTTTATCATCATCATTAATATCTGTATACTTGATTTCCATTATTATAAAAAAATCCATTTTTGTCTTTACTAATGCATCATTAAATAAAATAACAAAGTATAACTTGAAGAAATGTCAAGGTTTTCCCATTTAAGCCTGTACAATTCCTCTGAAAGTAAATATACAAGCCTTTGATATAAATAAATATCAAAGGTCCCAAAATAAGACACTGATAAACTTACTAGTGACATTATTCTAATCAGAATGATGCCCATTTTATACCATACTTTACTTCTTACTTAAGTCAATTTTTATTCACTTTTAAACTCTTGAAATCTTTACAACTAATACTTAACACAATAATTAACTTTCATGAAGAACGTTAAAAAAAAAAAGAGTCAAAACGAATAACATCAACAGAGAATGCCCTTAGAAAAATTGTATAAACTTAACAAAAAACTTTACAAGTTAGTAAGAAAATAAACACTTTACTAACATTATAAAAACTTGGAAGTATCATAAATTATTATATGACAGTACAAACAGTTAAACAGTAAATTTCAAGCCATTTGTTTGACCTTGGGCATGAGGCAAGAACATCATGATTTATGGTTTAACTACTAAACTAACAAAATACAAATCATCAAACTATATAAAAATGGCCCTGTAAACAATATTATAGGAAATATATGATGTTGGAGAGCATATTAATCCCACAAATTGTTTTCAGGGAATCTAAGATTAACTGACTATTTGTGAGACACTATTATCAGTATTACACTATTGAACTACTTTGAAATTTAAACTTATTACTTTATCAAGCCATTCCACGATGTTAAATGGGTGATAAAATCAAAGAGTTTGTTACTGGACTTGGCACAAATGCCTTTCACACGTTTGAAATTTTTAGGTCAAGCATATCGAATTACTATTATAATCAAGTATCCAACTGTCTAACTTTGTATCTATCATACTTTACAGCACAAGTCAGCAGACCACTGTATTACTATTAGTATAAACGTTACTCATTTACTGTCGATATAGTATCACTATCATTGGCGTTGTTAATCAGTCTATCCAGAATTATTTTACTCTTAGTCTTACTTAGTTATTAGTATTACTACTTTTTAAAGTTGTTTATCACATTGTTACATAACCTACAACTTTTTTGGCGTTATATCACTACTAACGTACAGTTACAATACACTTATATGTTACAACTTATAGTTATAATTAAAGCTAAGTCTGGAAACACGAAGCCTACATATACATAATAAGTTAGTGTGTTACTTGAGTTTTGAGTAAGCAAATTTGGCTCGAATAAGACTTTCGGTTTCATTCAAACAGTTTGAATCGGATTCTGAGTCATAATCTATATCTTCAAAGCTTAAGTTTCCAGACATATCAACATAATTAAAATGTTCTAGCAATCGCAGCTTAATAATATATTGCTGTAGTGATACATAAAAGTATTAAATGACAGGAATCAAAATATTAACACTAACTACAACATACAATGATTAAACTTACAAATTACAATCTAACTCGAGCATGCCGCCTTGTCTCCACAGCTTTCAGCTTTGAATCAATTTGGCCAATGATAGTCAGGTAGTGTTTGTGGCGACTCCACATTAACTACATTTTAAAGAAGCATAAAAAATAAATTTTTTTCTTTTGAATAAAAATGTTTGTAAAAATAATATGATTGGGGAAAATTAATGATTAATATAAGAAAATCTTTTTAAAATTATAAATCATGATACATGCATATACACTCACATAAAATTTCAAATTTTTTGTGACAAAATTACTGTGAAACTTTGATTTATTTCAGAATTTTTCATTCAAAGCTAAACAAATAACTTTCTGCGCATAACCGTCCATATTTTTGAACTGATAGACTAGAGAGAAGGCAGTTAGTCAACAGTACTCTACTACCAACTCTTGGGCTACTGTAGTTTGACAATGTAGAATGAGTTGATTGTCACTGTTATAGTGCATCCACGGCCCAAAACGTGTTGCGCGTTTTTGAGGCAACGGATAGTTTGTTTGCTTGTTTTTGTTCTAACGCAAAGCTACAGAATATGCTACCTGCGCTCTTTCCAAAGCAAGGAATCGGACATCAAATTTTAGCGTTTTAAGCCTTAAACTTGCTACTGATGCTAAGACTGTGTAACAGTCCCTGCATGCTAACTACCATTCCACGCCCAGTCTAAAACATTAGAAGAAAAATTGTAGAATTTTGGAGAAAGCCGAAAAGAAATTGTGAGGAAAAAGAAGAATTTGTAGAAAATTATACAGAATTTTTTTATTTACCTGAAAAACCACTATATTCACAATAAAACAACACTGATGACTTTGAAAAGTACGATCCAACAAAAAAACTTTATGACAAATTAAATTCAAGTGAAATTCGTTTCTACAGCTGTGGCCTGGCACGGCTTGATGGTTAAGACGCTCGACTCGGAATCTGCAGATCGTGGGTTTGAATCTCATCACCGAACATGCTCGCCTTTTCAGTCATGTGAGAATTATAGTGTGACGGTCAATCCCACTGTTCGTTGCTCAAGAGTTGGCGGTGAGTGGTGTTGATTATTTGCCTTCCTACTAGTCTATCACTTGAAAATCAGCGACGGAACTATAGGAAGCAATTCAAAGATAACAATAAAAAATGAAAATGAGCAAAGTAAACTCTGTAAGTGGTAAATACAATTGTTTGAAATATATATAAGTCAGTCATAGAAACGGAAACAGGTTATTCAAAAATAATATCATGCTTTTATAGATGATATAGTGTAAAGCCTACCGACTACATCATTAGTTTCATATTCTGTGTGTGAAATCTCTGTAAAGTAAACACAACTCAAATGGGACATCGGATTTTTAAGCTTCAAATCCTCATGTTTCTCCTATCCGTATACACACTGAAAAGAACAACCATTCTATTTCCATTAATAATTTCAAAACTATAACGTCAGGTTGATCCAATCATCAAAGAAAGTTTACTTATATATTCATTTAGCATCGAAACTTTAATTTCTATATATGGTATATAGTATAATACATGGTATAACATATATTCTTAAACTCTATATGCGTATTTATTTCTTTATGGAAGAGCTCTAAGTAAAAGTCATGTAAAGGAAAAGGTGCCAAGAAGAAAATTACTTAGAACCACGTGAATATTAATCTATAAAATGATAAATGTGCATTCACATCTGTATTATTTTGCAAACTTATTTGTGCCATTATAGCTCATTCAGCTCGAAAACAGTAAAATGTTCTAGGTGAGACTGTTTAAGTTCATCCTTATCAATGCTTGATCATCAAAAATTTAAGCTCCCAACAAATTACATAGCAGGATTGATTTGGAATGATTGCGTTGCTCCTCCCTTTTGGTGCCCATTTTTTTCGAGTGCAGTTTGAAGGTCAAAACTTTGCCCTAGAATTTAATAGACATGAAATCTTGTTTCACTGTCCCAAACATCCTAGGGAAAACGGTGTTTCAAATGTTTTACCATAATGGTAGCATGCAAAAATTGGATCTCGTCCTGTTTTCTGGCAGCCATATTGTTTTTCTTCTTTCCAAAGGTTAAGCTTGACAGCAGAACCCCATTAAATCATTTATAAAAAGTATCAAGCGACTTTTACTAAAAAATGCATGAACTTTTTTATGGGGCTAAAGTTTTCGGATCGCAGACTTGTCTATGGTAAATCGTACTACTAAATGTACTCGTGGATCACCACATATTTTCGAAATTTCACTATGGATATGCTCTGAAATCATTGTAAACACATTCTTCATAATTCAAGTCCATTTGCTAAGACAACTGTTTATTGTCACCAGATAACTTACTTATCTTAAATTGGTAGTGCCAAACAAAATATAATATAATCTTCCGAACAAATCTTTTTATTTATTGCTTTTCGCCATCTTTCGGACGAATGCCCGTCGTCATGTGTAATTAAAAAGAGCTTAGGAACTGAAAATGAAATTTTCAACCTCAACCTCTAGATTAGAAACCTCTAGCGTTCAAGTATAGTCTCTCATAAATTTAAACTACTAATCACAGGAAAGACAGCAGCGCTGCCCGGCTTTTTTTTAACCGAATAACGATACTGACTGTCATTTTTATAACATACCACAGCTGAAGAAGTTAAGCGTTTTCAGCGGCATCACGTCTCGAACGCCAAACATGACAATCAGCAGCCCAACACATTAGCCACGAGGCTACGAACAACTGTTATAGGACATAGGCTATTTTTTGATAAAAGAAAAAAAAAATTAGTAGAATGCACTTGGAGCTTGAAACAAATTTTACAGTACTGTTAATCTTAGCGCTAGTAGCATGAAGCAGTGAGTTAAATCTGCATCTACTTAACAAGATAGTTAGTTACATACTTCTTTTTAGTTGTAAATAAATACTTATTATTGAAAGATGCCACATCAACGGTGAATGAGAAAGAACATC